GGAGGCTCCCCAGGCTGTTGGATAAGGAGAGGCTTCTTGGGGGAAGAGATCTGAGCTGGGTCTAGAAGCCTCTACATCAGCATTTCCCAAAATGGGATTCAATGCAGAGTCTTGTGAACCAAAAAGATAGGGAAATGGGGGCTAGCAGGTGGCATGGTGGTTAAGGGCACTGGACTCCCCACATGGCCAACCGTGGTTCGAGTCCTGGACCTGGTGGCTTGCTTTCTCACTCCCCCCTCCTTCTCTCTCACTCTCACTCTGTCCCTGTCTGGTCAAATTAAAATAAATAAATAAAAATAAACTTTAATAAAATAATTCTTTAAAAAAAACCACTCTTTAAGATGGGGAACTGTATGGCTGTGTTTACTTCAGCGTTTCTTTCCTGCAGGACTTGCCAGAGCGAGCCCTTCCTTCCTTCCTTCCTTCTTTCCTTCCTTCCTTCCTTCCTTCCTTCCTTCCTTCCTTCCTTCCTTCCTTCCTTCCTTCCTTCCTTCTTTCCTTCCTTCTTTTTGCCAGAGGGTGTGTGTGCTCACTGGAGAGACAGTGAGAGAAAGAGAGAGAGAGAGGAAGCACCCCCCATCAGGAGCTGGTTCTACTGCAGTCTCTTCTCCATCTCTGCCTCCTTTTGGCATTTTGGGCTGTGGTTCTGGCATGCATGCACCAAGCACGTTTCTCAAGCTGCTGGGTCCGGAACTTGAACCGCGCAGCCGGCCATGTGGGATCTAGCTGTCTCCACCACCACACCACCAGCTGGCCTGCCACAGCCTTTAATTTGCTAACGTGCACGGTAAGGGTGGAGGCCTGTTAGAGCCTGTTGAGCACAGCGCCCCCTGTGCCCAGGCCCCCGCTGTGGGTGTGCCTGGCTGTCTGTGTGCAGCTCTCCGTGGTCCCGCTACTGGGCAGAGCTCAGAAAATGCAGATGGAGGGTTAAGGTGGAGCCTGGGCTTTGGAGTGGGGCAGTGCTAGGGTCGAATCCCAGCTCTGTTTCTTCCTGGCCAGTGCACTTTGGACAAGCAGGGGAGGATGTCAGAGCTGGTGCCCCTGGTGGAGACGGAGTGAGAGTACCTACCGAGGGGGAGTCAGAGGAATGGCCCTGCCCCAGCCCCTCCATAGCACCCTGGGTGTCTCAGAGGAGGAAGGCCAGCCTGGGCGGTTTTCTGCTCAGCTGGTCTCCCTGATTGGGTTCAGGGAGAAAAACTTTTTTTTTTTTTTGGGGGGGGCGCAGTTTTTGCTATAGGGTACGTGTGCTTGTTGGGGAGACAGAGAAAGAGGTGAGAAACTACTTTTCAGGGGGATGGCCATGCTGCAATCCCTTTTCCTTGGTTCTACTCTTGGGATTTTGGTTATGCATGCACATGTGCCCGGTGTGAATTTCAAACCACTGAGTCCAGGGCCTGAGCCACAGTCAACCATGTGGGAATCCAGCGACATAACTGCTATGCCATCTGCTGGCCCCCAACGTTTTTTTAGGAGTTATGTATGTATTTTTATTTACTATTGTTGTTGTTATTATTATTAACTTGGCCAGAGGGAAAGTGAGAAAGCACTCTGCCTACCAGCCCTCAAACTTTATTTTTTTATTAATTTTTTAAAAAATTTGTTATGGAGGGGCTGGACTCCTATGTGGCTGACTGTGGTTTGAGTCCCAGACCCGGTGGCTTGCTTTCTCACTTTCCCCCTTTCTCGCTTTCTGTTGCTCTGTCCCTCTCTGGTCAAATT